ATTTATATTATTCAAAGAAAAAGAATGCGCGTTTATTTAATAATTTATTTAAACATATAAAATAAAGCGAATAAATTCAATTCCGCATATTTTATAAAAGAAATTACTGAGTAATAAAATAATTCACTATATTATAATAATTCATTTAATAGTAATTTTGTATTAAATTGTAGATTGAATCATATTCTATTAAAAATTGTGTTAGATTTGCTAATATAAATTTTTTTTATAAAGAATCGATATTACATTAGTATTTTACGAAAAATAAAATATGAAGAAAAAGCATCCTCGTGTTTCGAGTGCATCTCATGGGGATTGTGTAATGGTTCTTTTTCTCTAAGTTGATGTTAAATCTAAGGAAAAATCGAGTTAAGATTATGACATGAAAGATCGACGGAGTGGAGCAAAATATGAAACACGGACAAATAGGTTTAAGCAATACTCGAAATTCTGGCATTTCGCATTAGCGCAAAGACGTAACGTAAAATCTCTCGACTGCGATAATTTAACACTTAAGAGCTCGCCGGCGAAACAACTGCATTAATAACGACGGGCGTTGCTCAAAGGATTCGCGCAAAAAGAGTGTAATCAGTCCTTTAGGTCGGAAGTTTCACGCTGATGCCTGTACAGACACACAGGGTGTAATGTCATTAGCGTATCTCAACCACGGTCTACTGCAGCTTTTGAACTTGCGCATCCCTCGCGAAAGGGGGACGTAAGTAGTGTGATGCTGACCCAAAACTGAATAATAGGTCCGCAAAAGCACATTCCTCGCGTCATTTTGTTTCTTCGTAGTGTATGATTTAATTAAACTATCACAAGGACTCTCTTTTGGAAAGAGAAAAAGTTACCTTACAAAAGACAGAGTGGTGAATTGTGATAAAAAAATTAATGAGAATTTATTCTGTACAAATTTACGAATTTTACATAATTTTAGAATAATATTTAAAAAAAAACAACGGAGAAAATTTTATGATAGTAATTGTAGCGCTAATGATTTTGTCTGGTGTTCTCCAATTGTAATTTGATTTGTTATGCTCGTTAGCGTTTTACAACAGTAATTCGATAACCACTTATTTCATTCCATTTTGGAAAGGGGATTTTGAATAGAATATTGGGATATTGTTTGTGCAGCGCCTTCCAGGAGTACTTGGAATGCTCTCATCATACGGTGCGCCGTCAGTGTGGCGATGATACAGCACGATTCACGAAGGAGTTCCTCGACAGAATGTCAAGCTCGTTGCTGAAGGTGAGTGATACATATTTTATTCGACATCATGTTTCATTGGTATGAAAGTATACGCTGAAGCTCTCATTAATTGCCCCGTTTATAATTGATTTTAATTACTGTTGCAATATTGCCTTTGAAAACGTTTTGATTTTATATGGCTCCATTTCATTTATTTTGACTATATTTGAAAAAGATGAAATCAATTTTTATACTTTTTAACAAATTTAGAATTTTTTAAAAATAAAATTTTAAGGTAAGTCATCATATATTTCAATATATTTTGTTAATGATACTTGATATCTTGATTATTTAATGATCTTGAAAATATTTTGATGGAGCCAAGAAATAAGTTATTCCTTTATATTATTTAACAGATACACATAATGTAAATGGATTCTTTTTAATCTTTTTAATTTTGATGATCTAATATTTAATAAATTGAAATAAAAATGAATTTAAAATCAATTTTATTGTACAATTAATTTAAAAGTAGTTTAAAAAAGTAAAAAAATTATCTTGAGTACTATCCATATTTGTATTATTTCTGCTTTCGGAAATAAAATACGGAACCAAAAAAAAATATTGAGCGACATTAGCAAATGATCATCTTAGCGAGTAGTAAGATTGATAATAAAACCAGCGAATTAAAGGGAGGGCGAATTGTTTGTCTTGTTTGTTACAGGCGCACTGTGCGCCCTACACGGAATGTACCGTGAACAGCGGTATCTCGACGCTAAATCTTTCTGCCATTATGCCAATGACGCTTATTCTCCTTATGAGGTACTTCACGTAATTGGTTTCGGTCAAGATCATTTTTTATCTTCGAAAGATAGAAAATAGGGAAACGAGAGAGGGCGGGATACGTAGAGAAAGGGGCTCCAGGAAGAAGAATGAAGAAATGAAAAGAAGGGCGCTCCAAGAAGACGAGAAACTGGAGCCTATTCGGCTTTTATCGTGCTTTGCTTCAGAGAGAATATATTCCTTATTTTCGAAGAGTTCTCGGTGAAAGATCGAAGAAGAGGCCGAAGCGATCAAAGGGGAAGAAAGGAGAGAGCATCAGGGCAAAAGAGGATATCCACAAGGGTTTGAGAAGAGAGGAGAGGGATACATAGAGGAGGAAAAATACGGCGTTTCTTTCTCCGTAGAAAATATATTTTTCATTTGCAAGATGATGCGAGAGATCGCAATAATCACGATTACGAAAGCAAGCAACAACGAGAGATCAGTATTAAGAGCCGAAGGGATATTAGAGGAAGGAAAATGCTTTAGAAATACGTTATGAAAGGGTTGTGGAAATCAGAGGGAGTGGAATCGCAGAAAAGAATTTTCAGAACGACTCTCTTCCACGTACGTCATGGAGATATCGAACTATAAAGTTGATCGTGATGCGACATATATGAAGAAACGGAGTTCTCTTCAATGCGATTCGCTAGTCCGTACGATACCGCGACGCAAGACTGACTCGATTTTTGCGCGGTTTTGTCACGAGATGAGCATAAAATAAAAAAAAATACTCCTTATTAACCAGCGAGATCTTTCGCGGATTGTCCCTTAGAATGGCCGCGCGCGTGCTGTTCCAACGCGAGAATGCGAGATAGAATTTGATCCTCGAGAATACGTGGCGTTTGGATGAAGTCGGAGAAAAAGACGGCAAAGGTAAAACATTTATAGTGAGGAAGAAGGCAAACGTGCCTTTCCGGCACGTTTTCGCCTCGATTTCGAAAAGGAGCACTCGTGCGGAACGAACGAACTATCGTCGCCTAGAAATCAATTTCATCGAATAATCACGATCTATCGATTCACGAGAACAGCGTTAGAGAGAAGGAAGCTCAGCGAGACGAGTCGTCTGAGTAGAAAGAGCAAAGAATTTCTACTTGAGTAGAGAACGGTGGATAAAATCACGGTGCGTTCTTTCGCGCGCGCGGGCATGTTTCGGTAGAAAATGCAATCACTATGTTGCCGTCGATTTGCGAGAAGCACGTGTCGCTTCGCCGAAAGTTGGAGAAGAGTTAAATTTGACACGCGTTATCCATGACTCATCCAAAATGGGAGTTTTCGAGGGAGGATCAGTACAATTAACTAACTCGTCCTCGAAATAACGACAAGCCGATAGGTAACGAAGCTTCGAGCTAGATACGTCAAATTAATTTTCCTTCCGGATATACGAGCACTGCCGCAGTATATATTATACTTTCAATATTTGCGAAATGAGCGAGATCCGAAAGTTTGAAGAGAGCACTTTTTAATTTCATCGTCATAATGTGGCTTTTTAAAAAAAAATTTTAATTCTTTCTCATCAGAATGCATAGAATCATGAGGAATTTTGTGCAATTGAAAGACCGACATAATTAAAATAAATAAAAAGAATTGTTCTTGAAGTAAAAAGAAGTGTCATTTAATGTCGTATATAATATTCGTACGCGTAAACACAAAACAATATTTGCGAAATGCTGTTGATACAAATGAAATAAATGAAACTCGAAGGGGTTTTGTAAGGCCACGTTGTGGGTGACTTGCGGTGCATTTGACATGTTTGTTCGGGGCATGCCGGTTTGTACAAATTCAACATGTCAGACGAAATCCTAGCTAGAACTGGATATGGATGAGTCTATTTTTCTGAGATCTGATGTAGTGTTGTACGTGTTATCTATATATATAAAAAAAACACACGCGCACGATCGCGATTGTACTCGCTGCACAAATGATAGTATTAGCACTTGCATTGTCGTGTCTTAATTATTAAGTAGATGGAAAAAGAATGACTGTAAAAGAGACGGTGAAGAAAGTATGTCTGGCCATATTTTCACGTCGAATCGATTTTCGGTGTTTATCGTGAAGACGTTACGCCGTCATTAAATTTGTATATTGTATTATGTGTTTAGATAAATTTTATTAAAATAAAGTTTATTTGTATGTTGGGAAGATTTCGCGGAGAGGCATGCTACTGTTTCAGATGTTTAAATGTTTCAAAAATTACCGAAATGGCCGGCGAAAGGTTTATGCATATGAAAATGATTTTTCTTTTTATCTAAGAATTTAATTTATTTGACTAAAAACTTTTACGACATGTTTGTTACATTACATTATGGTCCATGTCGTAAATAATTAATTGTAACCAATTGTTCGGTTTATGAGTTATTATAAAATCCATACGAGAAAGTCACGGCATTTAATCAAACGTGTCCCATTCATGCAATTATCGATATTTCTCTATTATCCTGCGCGCCGTGCCATTCGGAATATAATGCAGATTAATAATCTAGAAATTAAATTCCCTTCAACAGAGGGAGTACGTTTATCGATAGCCTCACCCACATATATGTATATAATATGTACTCGATGTCGACATCGTTTGTAATTTATCATTTCCTAGAGAATTCGCGCTTTTAACAGCACAATGTTAAAACAAACGGTAAATTTTCTATGAAAGGGAATACGTTTTTATTTTTAAGTTTTCCGAGAATCGTGTAATCTCCCCCGTTTTATCGAGGGATACCAGTGGTATGCATGAACAGAGAATATTTATTTGTAATATATAGCTAATTAAGAAAGCATTGTAAATATCATCGAGCTGTCGAGCTTAAGAGAATGTAAGATAACTTAAATACATTCACAATAAAATTCATTATATTTTTATTTAAGAAAAAAAAAGAGGAGAAAGCTCTGCACCTGTCCCGTTAATTCCAACATTGTCGCGACAAGCTTTTCGGAACGCGAGCCGTACAAGCTGTGCACGGTGCGCATTGTGCATAGCGTAAGTACACGTGTGCTCGTGTCAGAGTCTCGTAAAGTAATAAGCTCCCTTCAACCCTTTCCAGGTGATGATGATACAGCGTTCCTCTAGGGACAATACATCGTGATAGACGCACGAATACCAAAAGCCGTTGACTCATGGTTCAGATAGTAGCGCAGATGCATTGATAAACGACGGATTATCGAATTTATGAGATCCCTTCAATTATTATTCACTCTTTCTTTAATACTTGTATAAAATGATGATTATATTCTTGCAAAACTAGTAGTGGTTTTTCAGATTTACACAATGTCATAGTTGTTACAGCGATCACTGCTAAATGATTTTCGATATATTTTTTATTTCTTATTTGAAATATTGAAATTTCCGAGATATTATATTCCTTTTTATAAAATAATTTTGTCGTGTTGGAAAATACTAATTTTATTTGAAATTCTAAGAACAAGTACATTTTCCACGACGAAGATATTTTCTCTTACTTAAGAGACTTTTATAAAGTAATAAGATGTGAAAAACAACGAGGAAAAACGTTTCGAGAAAAGGTAAGTTCACGCTTATAATACTATTAAGTTTTTAGCTGTATAAAGTAAAAAATTGCTTTTTGAAAATTTATATTATTTATATTATTTACTGATAAAGATAAGAGTGTCATACGATATCTTAAATTATTAATTATTAATTAATTTATTATTAAATTAGATTATTAAATTTATTAGGTGCGCGAAAAAGTTTCTAAGCTGTTTTTGCAAAATTAAATTTTTATTTAAGGACTAACAAAAAGATATTAATTAGATAGCAAAATATTCCCCGAAATATTTACGAAATATTTGCATCAACGACCTTTTGCCATCTTTCAGACAGCTTGCGGATTCCTTGTTGATAAAAGCTTGTCGGCTTCGAGGTCATTTTCGTATTTCAATAAATGTCATGTATATCAGCCAAGTGATGCTGCAACGACCGGAATAGATAATCGGAAGGTGTCATATCTGGGCTATACGCCGCGTGCGAGAGAAGTTCCTAGCCTAACGCAAAGATATGATGCTGAACAGGGTTGGGTAGCAACTAGTTAAAACGTTAAAAGTTAAAAAAAAAAGTTAAAAAGTTAATAACTTTTAACTTAACTTAGTTAATTTTAAATGCATTAAATTTTAACTTAACTAAGTTACTTTTAACTTGCTAACTTTTTTTTAAGTTAAAGTTAACAATTTTTTTATCTCTTTTAAATATATTAGAAAAATAATAAGATATAAGGATGTATATTCATAATCTGTTCATATTTTAAGATTATCTTAAATAATTTCTTAAGATACTAATATAATACAGTCCTCTGATTGGTTTATGCGGTTATGCTTTATGCCATAAGTTTAGTTCGGATCTATAGGTGTTTTAAGCCTTAAGTCATAAGAAATTGACCAATTATAGTCAAATATTCTTCTCGCATACGATTGTAATTGATCAATTTTTTTTATGGCTTAAGACTTAAAAAGTAATCATTGATCTTGTATCTCCTCTATGTGCTGACCGTTTTTTTAAAGTTATATAACTTATATAAGTTATATCGTTATGTATTATATACTTATATCACATATAAATAAAAAAATTAAAAATTTAATTTACTTAATAATCTATTATAGTTAATTTCATTTTAAGAAAAATTAGGGCATTTTGATTTAAAAAATAATTTTTTTTTAAATTAACTTTTTTAAATTTAAGTTAATTCAATATTGACTTAACTTACGTTAAGTTAATTTTTTGTTCCTTCAACTTTTAACTTAACTTTATTAATTTTGTAAAGCCACTAACTTTAACTTTATTCAGTTAAAAAAAACATTAACTTACCCAACCCTAAGAGTCGCTTTTGCGACATGTGGTCGGGCATTGTCGTGAAGCAGGATCACTTTACGATATCCTTAGCCAGTAAATTCTTTTCTTTTAACGCGCTAAAATTGCTTAATTGTTCTTAATACAATAACTGCTGCGATTGTTTCATCTGACTGTAACAACTCGTAATACAACACACTTTTCCAATCCTACCAGATGCCAAAATCTTATTGGCGTGGATATTAAGCTTTGGCTTTCGATGTTGAAGATTGAAGGTCAACCTGTGATTTACGCTTCGGGTTATCATAAAGAATCCATTTTTCATCTCCTGTAATGATTTTGTGTAGGAAAATCTTTTTTTCCGGAACTTTGAAAGCAAACTGAGTGCGGTGTGATGCCGTCGATTTTTATTGTCTTCGGACAGTTTATACGGAACCCATCTGCCTTCCTTCTAAACTTTTCCCATTGCATGTAAACGTACGGAAATGGCTTGCCGCGTAACGCCAAGCAGCACTGCAAACTCCTTTTCAGTTTGCATAGAGTTTATATTCAGCAATGCTTGCAGTCCGTTTCAATTTTTTGAGGGCGTCCAATTCATCTTCAAGATTTAAAATCTCCTTGGCGAAATTTTGATACCATCTTTTTCGCGTAGCCTGACTTACAGTGTTCTCTCCATATGCACAAATCATTTCAGTGGACTTTAACAGTATTTTTTTTCAGATGAAACGCAAAGTGGATAGAAAATTGAATACGCTCTTTTGTTACTATTTTTAGGTTATATTATTTAAAATGTTATGAAGTTTGGCGTTTAATCTTAAAAATCATAGTGTTCACAATGACAGTAACAAAAGAGCATATTCGATTTTCTATCCACTTTGCGTTTCATCTGAAAAAAACTGCAAAAGGGCGGGAAAATAAGAAAAATTTTAATTGTGGTTTCGGTTGTATGAAATCTAAAGCTCAGAACTTTTTCGCACCTAATATATTATAAAAAATCGTATCATAAATTAATATTACAATTTCAATTAATAAAGAAAATGGAAAGTAAAAAACTTCTCGCGAAGAAAGTACAGTGACTTGTCCTTTACATTTATTAAAATTGCACGCTTTCATTTCCAAAATTTGGAAGAAAATGAAAATTATACCTATATGTATATTATTTTACATAAATATCTTATATTCTCTTTTGTTGAGACTAAAATAAATTGCATCCTTACATAATGAGCGAAGGGAATTCAGATGTAATGCTCGATAAGTGCTTGTTCACCGAAATTAGATGAGAAATGTAAGGAGACGAAATATTCCGTCGGCGATGCGCGACGGAATAATATTTCGTAGTTGAGTATATCTTGTTTTTGGGAACTCCGTCGTTTGCTGGCGCCGGCCGTTTGTTGTTACAGTGCTCGCGACTCGCGACCTTGTTTACGGTCGCGCGAGGTCGAGCTGGAAGGTTGAGCGGAGCATCAAGTATGGCGTAGTTACGCCTTTCGTGATTCGTCGCGCGTCGCATTACCGGCATTATTCCCGATACTCTCCGGTAAACGCAGTTGAGACGGGAACGGGAGCTCGAGAACCGCGCGAAACCGTGTTATTTCCTACAATTAGCAATTAGCTGCCTAATTAGATTGACTATCAATTTCCGTGATTTGCACACGTATCGAGGTAGATATTTCTACTTGCGATTTACTCGCTTAAAACAGAACTGAAGTAAAATGGACGAATTTATGTCGCATCCCCAGATGATATATCTTTTCGGCCGATTACATCTTATGGATTATATCTATTCTGACAGATTCGGATATAACATGATAATAATAATAATAATTAGAGCAGCGTTCATATCTCGACTGCTTAATACGTGTATTTTGAGATTTGCATGTGTAGTAATTCAATTTCGATAATATATATTTTTCATGGTTCATTGCGTTTTGGAATGATTATTATTAGTTACAAGTCGGCATATCGTTCTATCTTTCTTGACATTCATTGAGTAAAGATAGAATAACAATTGTGTCGACTTGTGTTATGAAATAAACAGTATCCTTAGTCATTAATACACACAATTCATGTTCTATACATTTCTTTTTTTTTCGAAAAACTAGGACGATCAAGTAATTAGTTATATTTATACAATTTATATAAAATACACAATCTCATACATATATATTTTCTAAAAAATTTGATTGGCTCAAAGAATTAAATAAATTTAAATGTAAAAAGGGGAAGCCAGGCGAAATTAGTGCTTTTTACAAACAACCATGTTTATTTTTTCAAACGTTTCGGTTTTCACAAAATCACTTTCAGTGAATAACTCACTTAAATTAATCGTAATTAAATTCAATTGAACGCAAGATAGTTGTACACGAAGAGAATTTTCTTTTAAAAATCCTGAAAATATGGTGATACTTGTGATACAATACAATATTTTAAAAATTTTTACCATGCTCTTTTCAGTGAAATTAATCAAATTTATTTTATATTTTATTGTAGTTTTATTAATAGACAGAGATTTACATAAAATTTTTCGAAATATGATGTTATCTCACGACTATCATATTTTCAGAGTAAACTCTAAGAAAAAATTCTCTCCGTGTATACAATCAAATACTTTTTAAAGATATTAAAGTATACAGTGAGAGCAAAAAGTATTCATACAAGGAAATTTGTTATTAAAAAAATCTTATTTACAGAAAATAAACATTAATTAGCAATTTTATCCAATGAATACTGTTCTAACAAACGAGCTTCGCATGTATTCCTGATTTTAGAAGTTAAATTTCTCGTCTGTATGAATATTTTTTGAGCATTCATTCAAGCAATTTTTAATTTTCGTTTATTTTTCAGATGATATATTTTGTGATGATATAATTAATACTTTTGTGATGATATAATTAATACTTTTTGGTATAAATAATTTTAGGAAACACAGTCTATTTTATTTTTTATGAATAAATTATCCAACAAGATCGTCAATTAAACGTCGAATCGATG